GGGGGGGGGGGGGGTATTAAAGGTAAAAACAAATTTAAGAAACATTTTATCGACTTAAAATAAAATCAACAAGTAAGAAAAATAAAAATACTTGAATAAACATTTGAAATTGTTTTTCTATTTTTACAACTTGAAATTTGAATTGATAAACATCAACTGTATCCAAAATAGGAAAAACCTTTCAGACTAAAACCTTTAAAAACTTTTATTTTAACATATTATGCAGATATTAAACTGAGTGGTTTTTAAAACGTATTTAGCTACAGAAAAGTTTGGCAAAGAACAGGTATAAAAACCTAAAAAAATCTGCCTAACTCTATTTGCTTGGAAACATAAAACCTGAAATAAAGATTTTTTTAGGCATTTTCTGATTTATCTCAAATTGATTTTGTGACAAGTTGGTCAAGAAAACTCTAATTCTTTTTCACTTTTTATCAATTTGGTAAATTTTGAAAAAGTCATTATTAATTTATTAGATTGTATACGTCAAACAAAAGTAAATTGCCGGTTCGCCTGAAATTTTATTATTTTTAATCATAACTCGTCTTTTTAACAGCTATTAAGAAGAATAAAAATATTTCGAATTTCTAATATGTCACCGCCCACCGGATACATTTTCTTTTCTTAAATTTGTGCGTTAAATAAAAACCAGATGAGCTACTACAAGGTCACAAAACCGTACCAGTAATACCGCAGAAATTTTACCTTTTTCTTCTGTTTAGTTTACTCTGACGTTGCGAATAAAAAGCCGGAAATTCTATGGTTCACTATTTGGTGAAAAAAACCGTGAAGGGGGTATTTAATTCAAGTGTAAAATTCACAACTATCATGAACTTGTAAACTTCGTAATTTAGATAATCATATGAATTTGTGTTCAATAAATTGAATTATGATTGAAGAAAAAATTATTTCAAATATAATAGAAATGATTTTTTTTGATTTTCCGAAATTTACGAAAGACAAATTGATCCTGCTGTGTTTAATGACGTGAAAACATTGACCGTGTTTTAATACATTGCAGTTCTCAAGATAGATAGATAGATAGATAGATAGATAGATAGATAGATAGATAGATAGATAGATAGATAGATAGATAGATAGATAGATAGATAGATAGATAGATGATAGATAGTAAAATTGATTAATTGTCCAAAGTGTTGAGTTACACGGAAAAAGGGTTAATCGAGTTATAATTGACATATTTTATTTTATTAATCATTTACATAGAAAATGCAATTCTAAACATTTTGGGATTCTCCATTTTTTTACAAGAAACTTGAGAAAATGTAAGTTCTAGATGGTTAATTATAACTTAAAAGTACTTATACACTGTACAGTACAAACATTTGTGTTATATTTTTTCTTTACCGCACATTCTTTAAGGGATTGTAAGTGTAACGCAGAGATGACAATGTCCTATTCGCAACAGTATTAGCCTTAAAAGCTTTGTTTGATCAAGCATTTATAAGATCTGCATATTATTTGTTTACTAAACTGTTTATTTTGATTTGTGGCTTCTCTGAAAAAGTTGCTTGCGCATTTCTTGCTTAAGATCACGCTTTTGTAGTTCCTGTAAGTTCTCTTTTATGTGTGGATTCCTGAAAACTGCTAGCTAGCTAAATACCTTATTATTACAACTCAATAAAGTCATTAAGAGTCATTAGAGGCTAGAGATGAACTTCCTTTTACTAATTACATTTAGAGATGTTTAAAAACTTCATTTCTTTGATAAATGAATTCTAGTATTGTTGAAGCGAACCTAACATACAGAACAATTTGTTAGAAAACGGTGATTAGGCTTTTTCTAAAACTTTTGAAAAATAGGAGAAGGGGGGAGGGAAGTTTTAATAGATCAAAATTTGAAATATCAAAGGTTTACACCATCAGGTTGCACAGATATATACTTAGTTTGGAGGGTGGACTAATAATTTTCCATATAATGTAAAAATAATATTGATAATGGACTCATGCATTTCTACATAAACCTTCCTCGTTAATGTAATTTTAGCTTAAATACAAAAAATAAAATGCAATTTTTTCAATGCACTCATCCATGCAATATTTGATACAAAATCTTTAGCTTAAAGACTTTTGACTGAATGCAATAAACCATTGTAATGCATTTCACAAGCTTTTAACAGTTTTTCCTCAATTAGCATAATGAAAAGATTTGAAAGAAAAGGATGAAAAATTAGCACAATTCTCATGCATATATCGTATAAACGTATAAAAGCATTTTAATTTGAGAGTAAACAATTTTTTAAAAATTCTTTTGGCTTGATTAAATTTATCTATTCAGTTCCATATTCTTTCTATCCATCTATCAATCCTTTCCATACTATATGTTTTCCATCCAACCATCTATCCTTTCTATCCATCTGTCAATCCTTTCCATACTATATGTTCTCCATCCAACCATCTATCCTTTCTATCCATCTATCCTTTCTATCCATCTATCAATCCTTTCCATATTATATGTTCTCCATCCAACCATCTATCCATCTATCAATCCTTTCCATATTATATGTTCTCCATCTATCCATCTATCCATCTATCAACCCTTTCCATACTATCTTTTCTCAACCCAACCATCTATTCTTTCTATCCATCTATCCTTTCTATCCATCTATCAATCCTTTCCATACTATCTTTTCTCAACCCATTAATCTATCCTTTCTATCCATCTATCCTTTCTATCCATCTATCAATCCTTTCCATATTATATGTTCTCCATCTATCCATCTATCATCCCTTTCCATACTATCTTTTCTCAACCCATCCATCCATCCATCTATCCATCTATCATCTATCCATCAACTTGATTTTCCATATGAAAAGAAGAGCTGCTAAACATCTTTAATCCATTGAACCTAAGTTTCATTTTATAAAAAGATTTAAAGGAAATACCGGACTTAAAGAGAATGTTCTCGTATTTTCATTTGGCATTATAAAAATATGGAATTAATTTGTTTACTTTTGAACATTTACATTTATTAAACACTTAAAAATGAAAATCATGAGACAAAATGGTGGAATAACATAAAAAATTGGAATTTTTTATGCTTGTCTATTTAAAGCAAAATAAGTGAGATTTGTTTAAAAGTCAAAAGTCTAAAAGTACTTTCATTCCTGATATAAAATGGATTTCAAAATTAGATTTAAATTTTGAAGTAAAACTATTAGAATGTGTAAAAAGGTAAATTAGAAGTGCTTTAATTTAATTAATCTTTTCATAGCTGTAGCCTTTCATTTCATTAATGGAATTTAAATCTTTAATTATTAAATTTATTCAAAATCTTGCCAAATGTAGAGATTTAAACATCATACATCATTTTTGACATTTTAAAGATTTTTTTTTCACCCCAGAAAATATGAACTCGAAAAATCCATAAAAATAGATTAAATTTAGCGTCAAAATATATATATTCGCTATGTATGAATTCTTAAATACATTTTGCTTCATTGGTATTCAGCATGAGAATTAAGAGCAAGAGTCTGTAGTTTAAACAGCTGAAACTAGAATTATGTTTAGTTTACACAGCTTAAGTTGGGTTTCTAGAAAAAACTAATGAATTATAAGGGATAGAAGGAAAATTGCGGGTAGAATCGGGCAAGAGGTTATGTAAAGTAGTTGTTAGGGTTTGGTAAAAAGTTATATTGGTGGGGGGGAGTATTTGGACTGCTAGAAACTAGTTTGATCAAAACAATAACAAATGTCGGAACTTTCTTGGGTTGGGTGAGAAGGCCGGGCTTGTTTACTTACTGTTGCTCGTGGAAACATTTATACAAACCCCCCTACCTTCAATATACATACCTTGATTCTACCCCCCTACCTTCAATACACATACCTTGCTTCTGACCATGAAAGCGTTGAATGCTTTAGACCTGACTAGAATATTATTATTAAACCTTTTGTCTCAAATTCAGCTCAAATTAGCCAAATGCATTTTTGCATTCAGGCCATCCATAAAATAAGAAATTGAACACAAAGCACATTGTGGGTTTTTAAAAGAGTGGTTCATATTTTATGCCCCCCCCCTTTTCATATTCAAAAAATATATTACAGGAATATCCTTTAATTTTTATCATCAGATAATTTATCTTACAAATATATTTCAGT